CAGACACTCCCAAAACACAAAACTCCAAAACATGCTTTGAACAGAGAAGCAATCACTAGAACAAAGGAAGATTCTGGCCAGGGGCAAAACTATTTGGATCTGTAAATTCTGTCTTTTTTTTTTTTTTTCAAAACAGAAATCTCAATCCCTGTAACCGAACCATAATTTTGTAAATAAATGTGTTCTACATCCCCTTAAATACTTCCATGTGGTTTTTAAATTGTTTCCAGGTACTCTGTCATCATTATCACACATGAGGACAGTTGTTCTCCACCTTGGTGGTACTTTGGAATCACCTAGGAACTTAAAAAAAGTGCTGAAACCTGAATTTGCCCTTAGAGAGTCTGATTTAACTGGTCTGGGATGTAGTCTGGCCACTGGGAGTTTTATTATTTATTATTTTTATTTTTTAATCTTATTTTTTAAATTTAAATTCAATTAGCCAACATGTGGTACATCATTAGTTTCAGATGTAGTGTTCAATAATTTATCAGTTGCGTATAACTCCTAGCACTCATCACATCAGATCATCACATGCCCTCCTTAATGACCATCACCCAGTTACCCCATCCCCCCACTCCTCTCCTCTCCAGCAACCCTCAGTTTGTTTCCTGGAGTTAAGAGTTTCTCATGGTTTGTCTCCCTCTCTGATTTCTTCCCATTCAGTTTTTCCTCTCTTCCCTTAGAATCCTCTGCGCTCTTTCTTATATTCCACGTATAAGTGAAACCATATGATAATTGTCTTTCTCCGATTGACTTATTTCATTCAGCATAATACCCTCCAGTTCCATCCACATCGAAGTAAATGGTTCATCCTTTCTGATGGCTGAGTAATATTCCATTGTGTATATATACCACATCTTCTTTATCTATTCATCTGTCAATGGACATCTCGGCTCCTTCCATAGTTTGGCTATTGTGGACATTGCTGTTATGAACACTGGGGTGTAGTGGGAATTTTAGAATCTCTACAGGTGGTTCTAATGAGCCAGGTTGTGACCCACTTGCCAAAACTAGGGTTCTAGTTCTCACTTATCCTCTCATCAGCTCTGTGTCCTTGGACAAGACATGTAAATTCTCTGAGCCTCAGTTTCCCCAAAGTGGAGGTAACAATCTCTTCTCTACCTGCTTTATACGCTTGCCAAGAGGATCATGGAAGACAGTATTTATGGAAACACTTTGCAAACCAGATATTTTTATTAGGACTATTATTTTGATTATTGATGACTTAATATATAGAGAAGCTTCTTAAGAATAGAAAAGCATAGTCATTTTTGTTGTTGTTGTTTCATGCCCAACAGTAGAATTTGTATACCATCCTGTTGTCTTTCACCACTGTTTCCCTCTTTAAATCCCCCACCTAGCTCTGCACCTGGAGTATATGCTCTACTCAACATTATTTGATACTCTTTGGCTCCAGGCCCATCTTCGGATGGGGCCCCACGCCCTTCTCAGTTGGCATGTCCAGTGCTCTTTTGTGATCTATTTAATTGGCTCTTGGCTGTCCTGGTTTGAACTCTTAGCCCACTGGAAATATCATTCTCAGATACTTGACCCATCCCCAAGCATATGTCCTGAAAATTTTTGCTGATTCTTTTCCTGTTTCCCTGAAAATTCATATTTGTTATCGGTACAGCTAAGGCATTTTTTGCATCTTTATATCTGGGGTCAGAGTCATCATTTGAGTGCTTTGAGGTCTGAAGCTGCTGTCAGTGTCTGTAGGAAGAGCAGGACTGTCCAGGAATGTGCAGCATTTTTCTCTGTAAAAGTCCATCTCATTACTTCCAGGAGGCACGCCTCATCACAAGCTTGTGGGATTTGTCACTTTTTAACCTCCAGTTTACTGAGGAGCAAAGCAATATGTAGGAAGCCTAGGTGTGTCTTCCTGTGCGTGCTCAGAGCTGGCATTGGAATTCATGAGCTACCTCTGTTTTCTTCCAGTTGTCATGTTTTGTCACATCCTGGCCTATGCCAGTGTCTCATCTCTCTACTTCACAGTGAGGCAGGATGGGCCCAGCAAACTTGAGTCTACTTACTTGTGTCATTTTGGACAAGTTCACTTTCTTCTCAGATTCTTTATCGATGACATTGAAACATCCAAAGTTTGGGGTGAAGATGGAATACCATATGTGAAGGGTCCTAGTAGACTACCTGATGAGGAAGTGACATATTGCTATTCATTTCTTTCCTGCCTCACCATCTGGGCCTCAGTTTTCTCTTCCATAAATTCAGGTCTTTCTAGCTTTAGAGTTCTTTGATTCTTAGGAAATAGACCCTACTTCTGAAGTGAACTTTTATAGGGCTAAATGTTCAGGGTGAGGCAAATAGGCTTTCTCCCAGATTCTAAATCACCCTAGGTCATGCCATTGTGCATTTTGATTTTTTTTTTTAGATGCTAAGAAAAGGCAATCTAATTTCCAACCTGGACATATCAACCAGTCATGCAAAAGGACAGCCGTTTGCCTGTGAAGAAAAGTAAATAAGTGTAATTGGTTTTGGTTCAGAAGGGTACCATTGAGAGTAGCTGGGTGAGAGAGGCCTTTGGGCAGAGAGGCCTTTGGAGGACTGATGGGGGTTGGGAAGGGGTGGGTACAGGGCTCCAGTGGGAATCAGAAGCCAAAAACTATAAAGAGAGGGGCAATGGGAAGAAAGGAATCTAAGATTTCCTTCCCCTCACAAAATCAGAGAAACTTGTATGCCAAATGTTTCCACTGTGTTTAGATATTCAAGCTCAAGAGTTAGACAGTGAATTGTTCAAATCCCAGCTCTGCCACTTATTGGCTGTGTCTTGGGAAAATTCTGAGCCTTTCCCAATCTGTTAATTTATCTATAAAATGGGAATAATTTTATAGGCCAATCTTATAGGCATGTTGGGAGAGTCAAATGAGAAATGTGCCATAGCACTTAGTGCATTGTTTGGCATAGAATCAGTATTCATGAAGTGGTAAGTAACATCATCAGCATCACCAAAACCACCATCATCATTATCATGGATGTTAGCACAGGAACACAAGGCTGGGGGATTCCCAGGAAGTTAGTAGAGCCCATTTCCATGCCAGTACAAGAAAGGAGGCTTTGGTGGCAATGCAACCCCATGTAGAGAACATGTCCTCCTCAAGAATGACCCCAAATAGGATAATCGAATCCACAATATCAGTAACATATCGGAGAATGTAGGGACAATGAGCTCTCTGTCAACTTCCTATTCTGGCTACCAAGTTAATGTTAAAATTTGCATTTTTGTTGATTAATTCATGAATGTAGTACTGTGCCTCTAGCGTTTGCAAGGTAGGTGAATGAGGTCTTATCACCATTGGATTGGCATGGGCAATGTGCCCAGGTGTCTGCTTAACAGAATTGGATTTTCAGAAAATTCTACATCTGAGCCATCTGGGCCAACAATAAGGAGGAAGGTTATGGAAATAATCATCACTCCCACCCTGATCCGTATTCACACATAATATATTACTTACATTTTACAACAAAACTATGAGGTGGGCAGCATATTACTACTTAAATTTAAGAGATGAAGAAAATGAGTCAAAAAACGAAACTCACTTCTCTGAGCTCATGTCATCGGTAAGAATGTGAACTCAGATAGGTTAGATTAAAATGTGTGCTTTTCTGTTACCTTCATACTTCCTTTGAAATCTGGACACATCCTTATATTGTGTTGCACAAATAATTTTTTTGGGACTTCTGCCTGAGCCCAAGATTTTGTTTCTGTGTAGAACAAAGGACAGATAAAGTGACAAAGAATAGAAGGTGAATGAGGAGGGCTACTTTATTAAGATTCTTTATTGGGCAATAGGGAGACTCCCAAGAGTTTGGAAGTATCCAAGGGTATCTGATCTCAGAGTTGATAGAGAGGTGTACACTCTAGGGATGATAGAGTGAAGGTGCATTCTCATGGGTTTTGACTTGTTCTGGGAGCATCTCAGGCGGACAGAGTCACACCTTTAGGGATGTACAGTGTTCTCAGAAAGATTAACTTTAGGGATTAGGTAAGAGAAATTTCCAGAGATCTTGAGATAAGGTCACCATAGATACAAAGATAGCTCTGAGCTCTTTATTCTAGTTTTCCATTCTTCTTGAGTCTGAAGTATTATGCTTCATATTTATACTTCAACACTACCACTTGAACTCTCTCTGTGGACTATTCCAGGCATAATTTTATTTCTAGATATTTCTTCTCTGTCTCATCTTTAGGGAGATTGTTGCTCCAGTACAGTTTGGTAAACTTCTTCTATAAACGGCCAGATAGTAAATAATTTAGGTTCTGCAAGCCATATGGTTTCTGTTAGAACTATTCAACTCTGCTGTTGTAGATGGAAAGTGGCCATAGATAATACCTAATGAACATGGGTATGTGCCACATTCATTTATTTAGAAAAAAAGGCAGCAGGCTGAACTTGGCTTGTGGGCCCCAGTTTGCTGATCTCTGCTTTGGTGTTATTCTATCCATTTAGCCAGTTTCACTTCTCAGCCATGAACACTCCATTATTTTCAATCTCCATGTATTGATAAATTCCCTAAGCCCCAATTAATACTCTCATGAGTAGGGCTCAGGATCCTTGCAGCTAATACAGGACAAGTTTCTGCTATGAAGACAAGTTGAACCGAACACTGAAAAATGGGTAGGCCTGGGAAAAGAGGGCCAGCTGGAAGACTGTTCACTCTAGACTCTCTTTCCAGGGAATCTAGTAGCAGAACCTCATGGGTGAGGAGTACCAGACAACTCCACCCCATGTCCCTGGCTCTCCTCCCCTCTGAGTAATGGGGAGAGCCATTGGGATTATGATGATTCTGTCTCCTTTGAAGCCATCTGATGAAACTCTGATTTTACCAGCCACTAGCACCTAGGAGGAACCTGGTGTGACACAAGCTGAATGGAATAATTTTATGGGTTGAGGGGACTCTTTGGAGGCATCTAACTAGCATATTTTGGAGAAAAAATTAGCTGAAGCATTAGGAAGGGAAACTATGCTGTATGCCAACCCCCACCCACCAATAAGGGTATAAAAGGACCATGGAGGAAGGAGAGACTCAAACCTCACCACATCCACCTGTATTGGCTTACCTGCTCTCCATCACCTCTCCCTGAACCATGCCTCACAACTGCTGCCTGCCCAACCTGAGCTGCCGCTCCACCTGCTCCTCCCGGCCCTGCGTGCCCCCCAGCTGCCACACCTGCACCCTGCCCGGGGCCTGCAACATCCCTGCCAACGTGGGCAACTGTGGCTGGTTCTGCGAGGGCTCCTTCAATGGCAGCGAGAAGGAGACCATGCAGTTCCTGAACGACCGCCTGGCCAGCTACCTGGAGAAGGTGCGCCAGCTGGAGCGGGAGAACGCAGAGCTGGAGAGCCGCATCCGGGAGTGGTGCCAGCAGCAGGTGCCCTTTGTGTGCCCCAGCTATCAGTCCTACTTCCGGACCATCGAGGAGCTCCAGCAGAAGGTGAGGGGGTGCCATGTGGGGGTGCAACAGCCGCTGACTGTCCTTGAACAATAAGACATTTTCAAGTTCAAGTGGCCCTCATAGTAGGCTCTTGTTTTCAGATTCTGTGTGCCAAGTCTGAGAACGCCAGGCTGGTGGTGCAGATTGACAATGCCAAATTGGCCTCTGATGACTTCAGAACCAAGTACGTTGAGACTTTCAGGCTAGGTGACCTTTAAGACCCCTGTGGCTCTCTCATGGTCTTATGGGACATTTCCTGGAAGGGAAGAGGCAGCCATCTCACCCTTTTCATTTCTCTTCTCAAGCCTGGCTTTATATAAAACCATTTTCAAACAGAAATCCAGACTCATATGCTGCATGCTCTTCAGTCTATATTGGTATTTCTGGAAGGCCTCCTTAAACTCCCAAATTCAGAGATTGACATGAACTATTCTTGGGGAATGGATTGGTTCTTGGGGAATAGTGGCATATTAACCAACAAAATAGAGAGGAAAATGAGAAACTCAATTTAATGAATCCCTGTGGGCACCTTCTGGTGTTAGGGTAAGTCAGGAGTCTCTCCAGTCTATCTGTGCAGAGCCTGAGGGAAACATGGGAGAAAAGAGGCAGTAAACTGTATTAGCTAAAAGAGATTGAGACCAGCCCATCCACAAGACACAGGACAGGGGGAATGGGATTCTTTCCTGCCTCATCCTCCCACTCTGATCTGTATGTGCAGGTACCACACTGAGCTGGGCTTGAGGCAGCTTGTGGAGTCGGACATCAACGGCCTGCGCAGGATCCTGGATGAGCTGACCCTGTGCAAGTCTGACCTGGAGGCCCAGGTGGAGTCCCTGCGGGAGGAGCTGCTGAGCCTCAAGAGCAACCACGAGGAGGTAAGAGGAAAAGGAAAAAAAAAGTAGGCTTCAGAGCCAAGACTTTAGCATCGGCAACCAGGAGGCAATTGCCATCAGGCTTCTTGAGTTGGGACCCCTCTCTGAAGAACTCAAGGTCAGCCAGAGAATGATGATCCTATATCCATAGCATAGACTGAGGTAGGTTGCTTATTCTCAAGCAGCTGGAGGAGGGTTGGGCAGGGGTTGGAGATGCTGAGGAAGGGCATCCATTTATTGAGCCCTGCTCTCTCCTCATCACTGTTAGTTTCTGAATTAGTTGGAGAGATGGAGGAAAAAGAGAAATAAGACATGCACCTCTCTTCAATGAGCTCCCATTCTAGTCTGGGGAGGTGGCCATGTAAAGACAACACATAATACAGGTAGAGGAAAAGAAGTACTATATGAGATGTACAAGCAGCATGTTCAGGGAATAATCCAGCCTACCTGGAAAGAGACAAAGAACTCTTCTCAGGCATGTCATGGGAAGGAGGAGGATTTCACACTTGGATGTTTCAATCTGGGGGAAGAGGCTGAGGAAAGACACAGAAGTGGTAGAGCAGATATATTGAATTTGGCCCATGCACTGGTATAGCTGGACATGCATTACCTATAGGGATGTGATGAGAAATGAGGTAGGACCTGCATATGCCAGGGAGTTTGGACTTAGTCTTACTGGAAATGTGAGCTTCTTTCAGGTTTCTGGGAAAGAGGTTGATGTAATCCTTATTTCGGTTTATTCCTACATCATATCTGTGTCAGTCTTGGGCCTCAGTGCATTTTTGTTGTGCTCATTTTCCTACAGTAGGAAGATAGAGAGTAGATACATTTCTGTGGCTTATTCATTCTTCTTCTTCCCTCAGGAAGTCAACACCCTGCGCTGCCAGATTGGAGACCGCCTC